CGCAGAAGAAACAGTAGCAACAGCAACAGCAGCAGCAGCAGCAGCAGAAACAGTAGCAGCAGCAGCAGAAACAGTAGTAGCAGCAGAAACAGTAGCAGCAGCAGCAGCAGCAGCAGAAACAGTAGCAACAGCAGTAGCAACAGCATCTGCGAGCAGCAGCAGCAGCAGCAGCAGCAGCAGCAGGAACAGCTCCGCACCCACGGGCCACAGTGAGCGTTCATTCACAATACAGAACCCCCCCCCCAACCAAGTGTGTCAAGTGCGTGTGTTTACTTTGCTTACATATACCTGTAAATGTGAGTAACCACAGAACAACAACGACAACAAACCAACGACGTCCGCGAACCTGTTCGCCTCGTAGTAGCAAGAATAAAACACTGTACGTACAAAATATACCTTCCCACACCTAGAGACGAAAAAGACGTGTGTGACAACGACGACATGTGACAGGCTTATAACACCTATAGGGGTTAAATACCTATCGTAATATAAATAGCACCAGTCAATCAAAACAACCTTTGCTTGTGAACAACCGTGAACGAACAACACACGTGGGAACGAACCACCATATGGTTTACATGGCCTGCCGATAAGAAATGTTCAACCGCGACCAGCACCCTCCCGAGTGCGCGGAAGATATTCCGTCGCAAAGTTACTCTCTGCAAAAGTTTCCGTTGAGCGTCGAGACTTGAAAGGCACGCGGCACGGTTAACGACCTCCTTCAGCAGTCGAAGCTGCCAGCCCGCTATGTGGAGCCGCCGATCGTGATAGCAGTGCCATCTAGTGATGGTGAATACGATCAGTAGCGAATGGCAGTTGATCGTGACATCGACAGCGTAGCAACCGCGCCGATGTGTGTATAGATATGTCTTAAACACCCCTGTATAGTACCCTAGCAGTCTCTTAGCAGGACGACATAAAATCTTGTTAGTAAAATGCAAAAAGCCAAAACGACAAAGCACTTGTACGCACACCCGACGAACATATCGATTAGTAGGCTGCTATCCTAATCATCAGTAAACAATTAACTTGCGAAAACGCTTTTGATTTCATGCGTAAACTAACCATCTCCATGATATTCCCGCCCATAAATATCGCTCCATCACTAACCATTTAAAATACGGACGAAAGACCATCAAGAAAATTGTTCACTTTTCACTTCCATTCGATCCAGCACTAAATATAATAAAAACATCCACGTTCTAAAACTAGCTAAAGTTACCGACAACGGGGAACGGACGTACGATGGTCCAAAAACCGTAAACCGTAATACGATTTTTGGTGGCGATTAATCAGCCAAACATTGCAGATCTCTGCTCAATGTGCCAATGGCCGAGATACATGGTGAGGCAACGATGAGAACTCCGATCGAGAGATTCGGCACGAGGTAAAACTGTAAACAGGTAAAAACGCTCCACGGTCTTCGTTCGACGCTCCGAGACTTCCGAATCATCTCGCGCTTCACTTGCACGCGTCACGGCCCGCGCGGGCGCACGTCTTGCCCTGGCTGCCCATCACGGTGGCGCGAAACAGCTTGTAGACGCGTCCATCGCGCGCGCATGCGCACAGCTGGTACGTGTCGCCGACGGCGTCGTACGACCGCTTGCCGTCTTCGTGCGGGAGGGCGCTAGCGTTGACGTAGACACCCTGCTCAGAGTTGATCGTAATGTGGCGGCGACCCTGCGAGACAGCGGCCATGTTTTTTTTAAGTTAGCGAACGCCGTTACTATTGCACGGTTCCTGAGACGATCGTAAAGTCGCGCGAATAGAGACGATTAAAATAAAAGTATTAACGACGCCTCATTAAAAGTATAAACATGATTGTGCGTATACATCAGCAGTGGTGTGTTAACGTCATCTAAACATGGATAACAACATCAACCTTCGAGGGTATTAACGTAAAGCTTACCCCACAGGTGTATTAATACCAGTGTTCAATTGCAGCAACAGTAATTAATACATGGGGGTATTAAGATAGCTATCCAGGTATTAACATTGGTACTCATCGAGTCATCGGGGTCTCAAAGTCGCTCATGGTTACTGTCACCGTGACAACTTACGGTTGATTGCAGCAGCAGCCTGCCAGCGGCAGCTAGCTCCACCTGCTTTCCCTTCATCTCGACGCCGGTGTGACCAAGCACGCGTATGGTCGACTCGCTCGTTAGCCGCAGGTCTCCGTCTGTCGGGCCGGTCACCTGGGGGAGGAGGAGAAATGATACGTGAGAAATACTGAGGGAGAGAGCAAGCTGAGAGAGAGCCAGGAGAGAAGGATGGAAGGCAGGAGAGAGAGGGAGAGGAGAGGATGGGCGGGAGGGATGGAGAGAGGGATTTTGGGTGTGATGATATACAGTGGTGATATAGAAAATGCTTCCAAACCGACGATGAATCTGGAAACAATAATTTGCTCTTTTAAGTAGCCTCACGTTAAAATGTGAAAACACGTGTAGTTAAAGCCCCCTCAATAGTATTTCCCCTCCTCAACAAAATTTGTCAATGTATACAATCAAAGCAGTGTTTGATGCAAGCATATTATGCATAAGAAAACATTTCGATCAGATAGATTCATCAGGTGCCTTTATATTTATTATTATATTTATTATTATTTATCGCACATTAATCCCCTTTATGGGTTATTATTTTAATTCCAATTACTCATTATCGCGTCTTGGTTTCTTTCGCGGTTAAGCATCCATCTATCAAGAGCAAAAGACACCTAAGTCTATAAATCGATGGTAATTATTTGGAGATTTCACTTAGTTATTACTAACTCGATTCGACCCAGAATTCTGACCCCAATAATAGCTTTTTCCATGTAATAGGAAAGCCATTTATAGATGTCACCTTTCGAACATTTTCCTTCCGGCAAGTGGCGTAGCAGACGCATTGTAGTTGCGCGTTAAGACATGACGTTCTACGCGAATCTTATCAGGTTCTGCCTACGCAACATCGCCTGCATCGTAATTGACAATTCTCTATAGTTAATGGCGAATCGCCATAAAGAAAAAATAATTTCCTCCCAAACAATTTTAATAACTCTAGATTTTAAATGTTTTTAAATGTTTAACAGTTTTTATGTATATTATTCAAAACCAAAGTAATAAACCAAAAAGAAAAAACACGTAGCAAGATTATGTGTACTATCGTTAGAAGCGGGCAGGGTACAAATAACCATGGGTGAATAATGACAATTTTTTGTGACAAATTTGAATAATGACAAAATTTTTATATTTTAATAAATTTTTAAATCATTATTCACCCTTGAAATAACGAATAAGATTTTCTCTGCAATACGGGTATGCGTGCTAGCGAAAATTCTACAAGCCAGCATGCGCCTGACACGCCTACATAGGTGACTCCGGGCAGCTGCACGCCTAACGGACAGTCGGAAGCTTTTGTCGTGTGGCACGCGTCGGGAATACGACGGCTATTCAACATATGTCATGTCGAAATTAGCTGGAGCTGTATATAGCAGCTGCCAGATGCACATGCACCGCACCGAGGCGATCTACGTGGAGCAGGAAATGCTCGCCGAACCGAACCTCCTCTAGGAAGATGCGTGCGACAAGCTAGTCAGTGCATGCTGTTGCTACATACCTCAATCATAAACATTTCGTGACTATAGTGATTTTCCACAATAACCGGCACGATATTCTCTATACGTGTAAAATCCTGTGCTGCGCAACGCACCTACCTGTGCGAGTGCCACATTTCGTTACGCCTGCACGAGGGCAGGTATGAAATTACAATATCAACACAAGCATTACAAGACTTGGCGAATGTCAAAGATTGGTATTGCGTTGTGACTCATGTAATTGCACTGATTATATGCGTACGCGTTGGAACGTACGTACGCCACACGGCAACGTTCGATTGCAATACACTGTAAGAAATGAATCGTTGAAGTCATCATATATTTATCATGCGCGTATACTTACCACAGGTACACCTCGAGCATGAGTTGTCACAGGCTGCTGCCTCGCATGGTCCTGTCATCTGTCCGCCGTAATGTGTGTTCCATATATACGCCTCCTTTCTCTGTCTTCTTCTATATCGTGTGTGTGTGTGTGGCAGCACAGCGTGTACGCGTAGGTGTAACGCCCTCTCGCGTCTATCGTATCGTGTCGGTATCACTGCTATTCTCACGGGAGATTAGTTACCTTGTGCTGGTGATAACAGACCTGGAGCTTCTTGACGGCTCTTCTTGCTCCGTGTCCTGAATTTTAAATTAGAATTCAGCCCCGATGACAGGCCGTCTACTACGCTTCGTTCCCACAGACCGCCCAGTACTTAGAATGCTACCAAAGAACCAGGGAGAAGGCAGAGCCAACCGCGCACTGCTGATCGGTTTCCACTGATATCCTTACAAAGGTATAACATTTTGACGAGGCTATTATGCGCTGCTGTGCCAGTTGGTCTTCTCCGTAGAATCTCTCAGTCGCGTCCCGCGAAGGTGTGCTGACTTGATTAAATGCGTATATCTTCCATTTAGCAGTGTTCCTCGGTCAGGCGTGTAGAACCGACTCGTGGTAGAGCGCTGAATGCCACGCTACGCCGTGGCTGTGCTTCCGAATCTTGTTGCGAGGAGGACCTGGTGTATGCCTACACGGGTCGTGAAATTCCACCCAACGGTGTCAGCCGTTCCTTCTCAACAAACCTGTCCTGTTTACTTAGACACATCCCGAGGAGAACGAGTTTCCGCCGATTGTAGCCTTCGTAATCCGTGCAGATTAAATAAACGCCAGAATCAGCCCGAGTCTATGGGTATGATCGTACGTACGATATTGTGCGACTCCTAAACCATCCCCGAGGCATGTCTCGCGTTCATTCAATTGGCAATATTGTTCTGCGTGGAATACCGGTCGATGCACTGTAGTGTTTTCGGAGCGCTGGTCACGCTTCACTAACTCCCCGGTTCTGCAGTCGTCTTGCATGGCCAGCGATTAATGCATACTACAGGTGTCTGGTAGGTCATAAAATCCGTCCTCCAAGAGAGGGCACTGCCAACAATGTCTGTTCAACCGGCACTGTCCCGATGCCAACGCAAGAACCATAAGAACCATAATGTTTCATTCGATGGAAATTTTACCTAGTTCACGTGAGAATGTGTATATTTCTAGAAACCTATATTCCTTCACCAGAAACTCGCCGACGCGTCTCGTTTTGTCTATTTCAACGGATTGTTTTGCGTAATAAACTCGCGTAACTTGTTTCGGCCATTGTTATGTGCAGATATAGAAGCTGTTGTAGATCAATGTAGTTCAATATTCAGACACAGACACATAAACATATTGTTTTTAACTATTTTAATATAATTGTATACACGTGTATTTAAACACCAAAATTTTAATTCTGTTAGGTATAATTAAAAGAAGATGGTAGGTTGACATCATGTGTATACAGTCTAATCACTACAAATTTTGAGAAGAAATATATGACCAATATGATTGTAAATTGCATTATTTACAAAAACTATTTGAACAATGCGTACAACCGCGTACATATTAGTATGTGTAAAATATCATTCTAAATATTTAAAAACCAAACAGCATTGTATAAAAACAACCTAAATCAAATGTGTGCTTGTATCATTTTATGATAACTAATACATCGTTTGCATGCTGTATATATCTAAATAGCTGCCGTCTTCGGCGATGTATCATCTAGGTACTCAGTTCATCGATATTCCCTGTTAAAATGTTAATTTATTTTAGTCGTATCCGCTCAGATAATATTTATGTAACTTATTAATGTATTGCATTTTTTTAAATATTGCTACATGTAGGTGCCAGCAAATTTTTCAGGTATATATTGTCCTCGCTTTCTGCCTTTCGATCTAATAGAATCAAGCAACAATATGATTTATCATCATGAACATAGTATCCGGTTAAAATGAACATACGCAATTCTTATGAGATGTTCATGGTGGTAGTGTTGTGGGTATGTAAACAATTCTTATTAGTATATTATCAGTTCTATTGTTCGATGCACGTTATATTGACCTTCATGGTTGCCACACCTTATATACAATTACAAATACTTAATAACTTTTTACCTAGCTACAACAATCACGGCAAAGAACAAAAGCCATCATTATTATTAATAATGTATAATTAAGAACTCACTAACATAATTTGATATTAATTGGCTCGTGTATAACTGTACTTTTCACGTTTTATGTCCGTGCAGTAGCCGACTTGCCAGAGCTCAACGTGCGAAGGCACATAGTAGATATATATAT